AAACTTGTTGGTGTTTTCACTTCCGCGCTGAGTCATAGTTGGCAACAAACCAATCACAGGTTTCTTTTAAAGCTGTAAGTGAGAGCAGGAAGAATGAAAACGGGGAACAGATGTAATCAAAATGTACTTCATGTAAATATTCTGCATCGATGGCATCTAAACGGCCACTCCAACGGTCAGTCCCACCTTGTGTGAATGGTGTGAAGGTGAACTCTGGCAGGTATCGGTGCAGCTTAGCATTGCTGGCTGTCTTTTTGAATTGGCCGTCTGCTTTACTGGTATCAAACTAAAGGTCAAAGATTAAGGTAAGTATACAGAACTGATGAGACATATTTAAAGCAATAGTAAATGGTTATAATTACACGATAGTTGAACAGCTAATATCACAGTATTTTAAAATGTATTTGAAGAGAACCTTTAACTGACTGCAATGAGAATATATTTCTCAGTGAAGAAGTTTGCAGCTTTTATTTTTCTCATAGTAATTTAAAAGTAAGTGTTTAAGAATACATACATGGATGGATAATTGACTGAGATGGGATGACCTTTGTTAGATTGCATTGTGAATTGTATGGTTTACTTTGATGGGCAACAATGCTTAAAGGTGGGGTAGGTAAATTTGAGAAACCGGCTCGAGATACACTGTTATATTCCATGGAATGCTCTTAAATTCCCGATAGCAATGAATATCTTAAGTGCTTTGACAAAAAATCCATAAAAAAACGTAATCTGTAGTACTGTAAAAAGCACAGCTAAAATAACTTGACGGCCTGTCAGCCTTCCATCTGTGCACAAACTTATCTTGTGCCCTCATGGACGGCCTGTCAGCCTTCCATCTGTGCACGAACTTATCTTGTGCCCTCATTGCTTCAAGCGCACTCAAGCTGGTTTCTCCAAAATTACCTACCCCACCTTTAATATTGGCAATTTGTACCTGTAGTGTCCCCACCAACATAAGTTTGAACCAAGAGGAAGGTTTACAGATTCATCCAAACAACCTTGCTTGATAAAAACTGAAACTGCTGCACATCTAACATTTTAAATTGTATACCCCGTTTATCTAGGCCTGTTTTGTTTTATGTATATGTCACACTGTGGGACTGCGGGAAACGGTATCTCGAGATTTCTGGATGTATAACACATGTAGTAATTTTGACAAAGCTGACTTTGATCTGGCGTGCAGACTATATAAACATTGGTTCACTTGGCATAATTAAAAGGATACCACAACTTCTCCTTTAAAGTCCAGTGCTTGCACAACTGCCTCTGCTGCCTCTTTGATGGACACTTCTTCCTCCTCTCCAACTGGAACCAGTGCACAGGCATTAATCAGGATTTCATTCTGCCTTAACTACTTGTATGCTTTGAATGAGAACTCACCAGAGAGAATGACTGGATCGACCTCTGGATACTCCCTCAGGACCCACAGGAAGAGACGAGCCAGGTCTAAAGAGTAGATGAACTGTCTTCTTGGAGAGCCCGAGCCCCAGACCACCAGGGGCTTCCCCTCCTCTGATCATCGGACAATTGAGAAAAGGATTTATATAGTTCCATGTATCCCCACTAAACCCTTAGTATCAGCTTCATAGTCAGATAATAAATATATTGTAACAACGCAATCAATTTTCTAAAACAAAACAAATGTTATACAATTACGAATCTGAAATGAGCATAATAGGGCCCCTTTAAATAAGACAAAGGGCAGCAAAATATTTGGTGTTGTCAGAAATAGTTGTGTTACATCAACAGGGAAACGTTACACTATGTAAGAGAATGTAACTTACTTTGAGCAATGTAAGCTTTGTGTATGAGGCCTGGCAGCACATGGCCGTCCTCAATGCTGAAGTTGTCATGGGGACCAAACACATTCGTGGGAATGACAGCTGTAAAGCAACGCCCATACTGCTGGAAATATGCCCTGTAAAACATACACACAGTTTAACAAACTCTTATTCATGCGAAAGTGGTAATTTACTAAATAGTACAACATCTACAAGTTCCCACCTGTTATGAACATCAATCATCCTCTTTGCATAAGCATAGCCGAAGTTTGACTCATGAGGTGGACCGTTGTGGATCTTGTGCAGAGAAGTAAATTAAAGTTAAGTGGCCATTGTCCATACTTGCTGATACATGCTAGTTAACAGTACACAAATGGGGGCTTATCACCATGGTTTCATCGATAGGGTAGCTGGTCTTATCAGGAAAGATGCAGGTGGACAGACAGGAAACAACTTTGACCGCGCCGACTTCATGTGCCGCCTGCAGCACGTTATCATTGATGTAGATATTGTTTCTCTGAAAGGCACAAAATATATATCATTGACATCAAAAACCCATCTGTAAAGAAATGTTAGAAAACAACAATCTACAATACAACAAATTCTACTTTCAACACATTTCAAACAACCGTTTCAACCATCTGTGCTACTTCATTAGCAGTGATTGCACCACTTCTTCATACCCAAAAGTCCAGGTTGTATTTCATGTTCTTGAAAAGCCCCCCAACCATAGCAGCCAGGTGAATGACGTGTGTTGGCCGATGTTTTTCAAACACTGCCCTTGTCTCCTCCATACTCCTATCAATCAATCAGAAAAGTGGACAGACATTGTGTTTTTTTTGTCACAAGACACATGTTTCAGGCTAGAGGAAGTATGCCTTACATCAGGTTGGCATCCTTGGAGGTGAGGAATATCCATTCTTCCCCCTCCTTGGCTCCCCCCTCCTCTCTGACCACATGCTGTATGGCCCTGCCCACCAAGCCAGACCCTCCTGTCACCAACACCCTCAGAGGAGCGGAGTGATCACTCTGACAGTTCATCTGGAAAAAGCAAGGCACATGAAAACCTAAAGAGCTGAAGGTATTATACAAACAAACAAGGTATGAGTCTCTGCATATGATAGTGAGGTTATACACCCATGAACAGTTAATAAGCTTCCTATCATGTGTACAGGTGGGCGTGTTGCAGGTGAATGCCACGTCATTCAGCAGGACGTTTGTCAATATGTGTTTTACAAGTCCAAATACATGTTCTTACTTACAAAGACATGGAAAACCATTTGTGAAAAAGTGTATGAACCCTGACTTCTCCATGACCTTTACCTAATTTTCCATGACCAAAGAAATTACTCTCAGCGGTACCACTGAAAATTGTTTATTTTAACATGGAACAGGAAAATAAGGTCTGAAGCATGTTGTGCCTATCTAAAACAAATCAAACAGTAGACTTACTAGCTTCTACACGCAACTCAAATCTCTCACCAGCAAAATACCTCGACAGTTAAATGCCATTTTACGTTTCATTAGTATACGATACAGTATTTATTATCATTATACTATTATTATTTCAGCGATTAGATAAAATATAAATTATATTTGATGCAACTTTAGTTACATTTCCATGACTTTTCCAAAACTTTGGGAAAGATATTGTTTTCCATAACTTTTCCAGGGCCTGGAATTAGCTTTTTGAATTTCCATGACTCTTCCAGGTTTTTAATGAACGTAAGAACCCTGAAAGAGCATTTAACAAGTTAAGAGTCTTGGTCAGCATACTAATGCAAGATAAATACAATGTCTAACAAATTCCTCGTATGTGTGAACCTACCTGGCAATAAACCCGTTTCTGATTCTGATAACTAAATGAATTAATATCTAACTTTCTGTGGCTATATTAGTTATTCGCTTGGATCTATTTTAGTGCATCCCAAGACAAGCTTGATTTGTTGTTACCTGCTTCTCATAACAGTTAACCCAGTCTGAACAGAACTATGCTGTGCAAAGACAGACAAGCTAACGTTATTAGCCAGAGTTGAAGTTAGCTATGCTAGTTGAAGTTAGCTATGCTAGCTGTCATATTTAATCCTGTGTTGTGAAAATGTAGCAAAACTAAACCTGAATGTGCCAACTCTATCACAAGTAACAGGTATTCATCTTCGTTCTCCTAATGCAGTGAAGCACACCAAGTCAGATCCAAACAGACATGTAAAGTAGTAGTTGTGTTACCTGTTAGCTGTAAACTACACGGACTGAAGGAGCCAGTGTAAAGCGCATGGATGGTAAAGAGTGGCAGATGAAGAACTCGGCTTCCGGTCAGAACTTCAAAATAAAGTTTCATTGAGGAGCTGAGTCGTTTTCCTGCCACAAATAAATTCAATGTAAATCTCTCTCTCACTTTGAATTATTGCAAATGTGACAAAAACAAGAAACATTCAACACGTTGTTACGTTTCATTAATTTATTGTGTTTCTCACGGAATGTTTATATGATTAACTTTTATTTTGACATATAAAAATACGCTTTTTTTACATGTCAAAATAAAAGTTAATTACAGAACATTCCAAAAACAACTGCACGTTAATTTGATCTTTGTCATGTCTTTTAATAATTTAACTGCCCATTCTACCTCATATGCAAGAGCAAATCTACTGTATTCTATGTATTCTAAAGTAGAACACTGATCATTTAAATGACTAGAACTGGTTTCTGAATAATTTATGATTTTGTTTTAAATTTGGTCAAAGTAAATATTTTAGATGAGCTTCCGACCAGGTTGATGAAGCAATAATTGCTTCACATTTTGTGTCGAAATGAGTCTTAGAAACACATTATAAGCGGAGACTGATTATTAGTTATCACGGCCCCTGAGTGGACAGTTTCAGCTTCAGTTTGGTGTTTGATTTTCATTTTTCAAAACATTCATTTTTTTTAGCTAGTTATGCAATAGTATTTATTGCATTTTTGTAAAAGATGTGCTGTCTTGTAGATTTATAATGAAACCAGTATAATGTACTGGACTTCTAATCATTGATGTTTATTATGCTTCATCCTTTTTAACCAATCCAGAAAAATTATGTTTTCATTCTTTTGGCCAAAAATAATACAAATCTTGAAATATACAGACGTGCACAATAACCAGATAGCTACATATCTAATTTCAGTACAAAACCAGATCCAAAAAGTCAGTCCTTCATTTGGAAAAACATCACAGAAAAAAAAAACTTTCAAAGATTTTTTTATTTTAGTTGGTTAAACATTTATCATCGGCTGTGTCTGTCTACTGAGGAGACGAGAGCCTGCCGAGGAAGAGGATGGACTTGGTCTTATTGTGCCTGATGAAAAAGAGGAAGGGGTGGTCTGCTGTGAAGTGTTCCTCCCTCAACATACAGAATGATACCATTCCCGCTGTGGCTGCAGCCGCCTCCGTCCCCTCTTCGTTCACCTCCACGAAGGCTTTGTGGGCCACCGTGGACAGGAAGAGTCCTCCTTCACCGTTCATGCCAGACAAATCAGCCTTTGCAGAGCAGAACACGTCCGTCATGCCCAGTTTGGAAAGAGGCTCGTTCAGCTCGTAGTCTTCCTCAAGCTTGAACCTTGGCAGGTGGACGAGGACTTCAGAGTGGACGTCCATGTTTTCCCTCTTGATCCAATCGTCCAGCTTCTCCTGTGTGAGCTCCTTCTCCAGCTGGAATAAAACACACACCGATAATTAAGTCTTTGTTTAGCTAAAACAAATGCTTTTATTTATGTTAGTGATGTGCAGAACAACTCTTTTTCACAAGTTCAGTTCCCTTGAGTTGTTAATGAATCGTACCTTTCAAACCTTTTGAGTTTGGATAGTTTTGCATATAAGTGACACAGTTACACTACATACACATTTGACCCATAGTGCAGCCCGCCTCTTATAACATCTCTACAATGCATTACTAGTTTAAATTAAAAGAGATTAAAAATACCTATTATATGCCTAGACATAGCATCCCACTTGTAGGTAGACTATGTATGTTCAGTAGGACGTTACAGAAATGGCCCTAAAAACCGTCTTTAGTCATTTGTGCATGCTTTCATGTGATGTAAGAATTCCTGATCATATTTCAGTCATATCCGAGAAAGAAATACAACAAATCTTCATTGTAACATCTATGCTTTGTCCACATTATGATGCAAAGCTCACTAACTCTTCCAAACCCTGGACAAAAGACCAACCAAGGAGCTTTTGAATGCACCATTAACCTGCGATGCCGTCTCAGAAGCAGGCATGCTTACCCGTTATATAAAGACGATACAAATATTTCAAGATCTCAAGATCGTTATTGCAAGACGCAAAGAATGGGTACTTTCAGAGTCATTCCCCCGCATATCATTAGTGGTATAGATTATTTACTTTTGCAAGAGTGCAAATGGTTCATTATTTATGAACACCTTCTAATACACCCCTTGCAACCCTGGTTATGCCAGGTAGTTGCTTTTAGGTTCATCACCTTCAGCAGAGGGTCAGAGCCGTCAGCGGCTTCCTCAGGCAGCAGGATGAACATGCTGAGCTCCTCATCCACATATGGCAGCTCCAGGATCTGCAGGCCATGCTCATCAATGAAGTTGTAGGGCAGCTTCTTCATCTGGTACATCATCTGGACCGGCTTAGATTCATTCTGTAGTGCACAAAAAAGAAAAGAAATGCGGTCGGATCACCTTAGAAAGTCTGAATTTAGTTTGAAGCTCAAATATACATGTCTCTACATCTGCAAGCCTCACCTGGTTGAGTTTAAAGGGCATCTCTTTGGTGTTTGCCTTATCAAAGCGGTTCATCCAGTTTCCCTTGAAGTAGATGGCATTAACCAGGGCCAACCTTGTCATAGGCGTGACTGTTCCTGACTTCAGAAGATCTTTAATCTTGTCTGAAAAGAGGACACTATCAAATGATTGCTTTACAAGAGAGAGATATAATTTTTGTGTTCAATTAAGATTGCTCACTTTCTGTCTGCTGCTCGACCCAGCCGTTGATCTCCGCTCTGCACGCCTCTGCAGCTCCGATAAAATCTACAGCTTTCATATCTGCCTTGTAGTACTTTTGTGTAGCTGCAAGGAATTTCTGAAAAGAGCAGATATGTTGTGTCATTTAGAGTTTTTGATTTAGTTGAAGTAACTAGACATTCTGTGATGAGTGAAAACTGAAAGCTTACCGGGAGGAAATTGGCAGTATTTTCTCCATACAGGCGGTTAGCTAGTTTCAGGATGTATGATGCAGATGGCGAGTTGATGTCAGCGTTTAGAGACTGGAAATCTGCGTGGACGTCTTTACCAGAGCTGAATGAGAGGGCCTGTGTGTGAGGATGGAACAACAGACTTTATTCTGGGATAAAAAACGTGTTAAAGATTGTGAAAAGTAAGAATGGTTCACTTTTCTTGAGCTATGTAACTGTAACAGCTTTTAAGACCAGATGTTTAGTCCTACGTGGTGCTATACATGGCTGCTATGAAGCATATTAGCTTGCCTGCCTTATGGAAGACATTTTCTTTATGACTTTATAATATTTAGTTGTGACTGTTGTTGTTAAAGCTATGTGCCTGTTCTACAAATCAAACAATATCATTCTATAATTAAGGTATGCAGACATGCAGGCCTCCATTCTTTTGTGTACTTGTTGTTAAGGTTTTTTTTTAAGGCTAAGGTCCAAATAAGGGAATGCAAGTGTATACAATTATAATTTAGATAGACAACAGCGTTCTTCCAACTTTGTTTCAACAGTTTTAGGAAGGCTATTTCCTGTTTCTGCTTCCCTGCTAAGAGTCACGAATGTAATCCAACAACCTCAGGGTGAACTGGCTCCACATTTATCTAAGTTTACTGAGGAGTTTGGATGCTGTTGCAGTAATCAATTTGTGATGAGATGAAGGTGTAACAGAGTTATAAAGGTTGGTGTAAAATCCGGGTTAAATTGGAGAATCACGCCATCTGGTGTTACAAATGCGTGCCTGCATTACTGTAGCTTTGTTACCGCAATGGATTGTGGGAGATTCTCATACCGCGTGAGGATCTTTTGAGAAACGTGTCCTTTTTATGTGTCCATTCAAACGCAGAAACGCAGTGAAATAAACCAAAGTATTCACCAGCTCTGAGTGGTCTGTTGCCGAGGGGACACTACACCGGGGTTTACATTGGTGCCGTGACCCGTTCTTCACTACGCCGGACCAGGGTGGATGTCTTCTCGCCGCTGCAACGTTTTGGAGCTTCAATTCCTTCAGTGTGTTGGACTCTCAGGTTTATTTTGTTGATATAAGCCTTATTCTTTTGAACTTTTCATTTTATTTTGGTTTACTATCGATGAAACATGAGTTCCAGTAGATTTAATACCTTTGAAATCACTCCTTTCAATGTTGGTAGGGGTAGAGGGCTATGTAGCACACCTGTTCCATTTCCACAAGGTGACTTTAAGGTGGGGGATAGGAAAACTTTTGATGGGGATTCAGTGCACAGTCCTATCAGAAGTGGAGATGTGATGACACCTTCCATCCAGCATACAGTAGAGTTATCTACACCACAGTGTTTTAGCACATCAGTCCCCAACCCTCCTGATGATGTCGGACTAGCTGACCAAATGAGCACTATTGTGCAGCAGATAGGGCAGCAGCTAGCTGATAGCATTATGTCACGCATTAACACTACAGCTGCTGTACACACGAGTCATGAAGAAAAATGCATTAAAAAAGACACACTCCCCAGCCAAACACTGGATCTCTCCCAAGTTCAGCTAGTCACTCAGAGAGGAGTTAAAGACCCACCTGTGTTCAGAGGAGAGAGTTCAGACACACTGCCTGTTGATGAATGGGAGGATTTGATGAGAAATTACATCAGGAAAAGCAGTATCCAGCCAGAGCATCAAGCTGAAGAAATTCTGATTCACCTAAGGGGCAGAGCAAAGGATGTTGTGAAGCTTGGGATAAGAAATAGTGGAATTGATGTCCAAGAGAACCCGCAGGCCATCTATGGACTCCTCCGCAAACATTTCAGCTCCAGCCATTGCTCTTCTGTGCCTCTGGCTGACTTTTATTCCACCCTACTAAAAGAACAAGAGGACCCATATGAGTACTGGCTCACACTAAACAGAGCTGTCGATGTGGCTGACAGTTGTCTTAGGGAAAAGGGTAAGGTGTTTGATAATCCCAGTATTGAAGTCACACGTATGTTCATCAGACACTGCCCCAGCAGAGATTTAGCTCTTACGTTTAGGTCCAAGACAATTGATAAATG